GCTTGCCCAGTAGAAGTACGAAGATGACGAACCTATACTGGTGGAGAAGGAAGAAGAAGAAGATGATGATGAAGGAAGGAGATGGTCGGGAGCTAAAGTACGGCACCATGAGAATGAGCTCTGATACCCCGCCGTTTTGGAGTCATTATGATGATGGAGTTTGCCGGGTGTTGCCAGCTGGGTGGGAAGCCTCCAAGCCATTGCTGCCATATTTTTGAAGCTCTCTCTGTCTCTCTGTGGCTGACTGGCAGACTCGTTTTCTTCTACAGAGAGAGAAGGAGCAATGGATCCCAATGGTGCCACGTCCTTCTCCAAAGTGGATTAGGATTTTCTACGACGTGTCACAACTTTTGGTGGACTTGATCCGACCCGACGGCCCATAGGCAAAGGTTTTTGTTACTAGGCCGGTTCAAGCTAAAGCCCAATGTTGGAGACGACGGACATGGTTGAGAGAGAGAGAGAGAGAGAAGGAGAAGTTCTTTGCGTTAAGAAAGTCACTAGGAAACTTGTTTGCGTTAAGAAAGTCAGTTTTAATTCACTAGTTTTGAATGAGTGATGAAGATTATCACCATATTAACAAAGTGATTTAATCTAAACTTGAGTCTTTTTTTATCTTTCTTTTCATATAATACTACATAGTAGAGGGTGGAATGACTAGAAGAAGTCCATCACTAAGAAATTTCCTTGCATTAGGATGCTTTATTTCTTGGTTTGAACGCACGAAAGTTCTTGGTCAAATCTCCTTCACTTCACTTTTTTATCTTTTAATCTATTGATCGTTTGCCACTCCCATGTGCCCTTTCCTTTCTTTATTGTATGAATGCTTGAATTTTTGTCCACCGACGGTGCTTGCCTAATTATTTCACTTGTCTCCTTTCCGGGATCGTTCTGTAGCAATTGTTTTGTAAAGCAACTGCTTTCTATTCTCTTTCTTTCCAAACTGCTTAATTAAACCCATCAGATTATCTTTCTTCTTCAAGTTTTCATCTCAAATATCAGATTTGCTTTCATTACAGCTCCTGGTGCATTCAGAGAAACGGATATGGAATCCATTGAGTTTTTTCAAGTTTTCATCATAATCATCATACTCATCATGACTCTGTTCTACAGCTACTTCAGATCATTAACGTCTTCTTCTTCTGCTGCTGCTGCTGCTGCTGCTGATACTGATATCCCCCCGCTTCAAGAAAAGTATGATGTGTTTCTTAGTTTCAGAGGTGAAGACACACGCGATACTTTTACCAGCCATCTTCATGCGGCTTTAGGTCGGAAGAACATTGAGACCTACATAGATAACAGACTTGAGAAAGGAGACGACATTGGACCTACCCTTTTAGAAGCAATCGAGAAATCGAAAATTGCACTAGTCATTTTCTCAAAAGACTATGCTTCTTCCACATGGTGTTTGAAAGAACTTGTGCATATACTTGGATGCAAGAAAAGCTATGGACAGATTGTTTTACCCATTTTTTATCGCATAGATCCATCAGATGTACGAAAACAGCAGGGAACTTATGCACTTGATGATCGTCCACTTAAGCGCAGTAAGGATGAGGTGGCCAACTGGAGGGCTGCTTTGGAGGAAGCAGCCAATATGTCTGGGTTTCATTATTCCAGCAAAACAGGGTAACTAACTCTCCAATTTGTATCAATTTCTACGTTTTATTATTTGATTCATACTGTACTCATACTATTGTTTGTCTTTCATAACGATATTTGCCAGGACAGAGGCCGATTTTGTTGAGGAAGTTGTTCAAGATGTTTTGACCAAATTGAATCGCGAATCGTCAAGTGATTTAAAGGGCCTGTTTGGAATTCAAAGGAAAATTGAGGAAATTGAGTCGTTATTATGCTTGGATTCACCAGGTGTTTGCTGTGTAGGTATTTGGGGGCATGGGTGGTATTGGCAAGACCACCCTTGCTGATGCTGTATTTCACAAGCACTCCTCTAGATTTGATGCTGCTTGTTTTCTTGCAAATGTTAGGGAGAAATCAGAACAAACGGATGGACTAAAACAATTGCGAAATACACTTCTTGGTGAAATATTAAAGGACTCCTTTAATATCAACACTCCATCTATACCACTTCATATTCAAGATAGGCTCAGGCGTACAAAGGCGCTCATTGTTCTTGATGATGTGAATGCTGAAAAACAACTAGAAGTTCTTGTTGGTGATGATGATCGGTTTTGCCAAGTAAGTCGAATCATTATAACTGCTAGAGATAAAGGCCTACTTGAGCAAAAAGTTGACCCTGAAAAGATATATAATGTTGAGGGATTAGGTTCTGATGAAGCTCTTGAGCTCTTTCATTCGCATGCTTTTGGAAATAAGTCTCCAACAACAGATCATCCTGAGCTGTCAAGAAAGGTGGTGGATTATATTAAGGGCATTCCATTAGCTCTTAAAGTTATGGGGTCCTCATTCCGTCGTTGCAAGAGCAAACAAGAGTGGGAAGTTCAATGGAAAAAAGTGAAACGAGTTCCAATCGGAGAAATCCAGAAAGTGTTGAGAGTAAGTTACGATGGATTAGATGACAATGAGAAGGAGATATTTCTTGATATAGCATGTTTTCATAAAGGCCATAAGAGGAATGATGTAGAAAGAATATTAGATAGTTGTGATTTCTTTGGGGAAGCGGGAATCAATGAACTTATTGATAGGTCTCTCATATCAATTTCATATCCCGAGATATGGGTAGATATGCAGTCAAAAGCACGGATAGAGATGCATGATTTGGTGCAAGAAATGGGTTGGACAATTGCTCGAAAACAAGGCAAAAGGTTATTCATTGCAGAAGATGTCAATCAAGTATTGGCAAATAACCAGGTACATAGTAATATTCACATTTACAATAAACAAGTCAGATTATTCCTACAAATGTAATTTTGATTAACCTTTTTTTTGTATATTATATTTTACATTTATATTGTTGCTCTTGATTGTCAGAGCGATGGACATGTTCAAGCCATATCCTTTGTTTGGCGTGAGTTGGAATATGCAAACTTCGAAAAGATGCATCAACTGAGATGGCTACGTGTCCATTCTTATGAGCACCGAGCAACTTCATTAATTGATTCTCTAGGTCTTCCCAATTCTCTTAGATATCTTGAATGGTTCCAATATCCTTTGAAATCTTTGCCATCAAAATTTTCTGCTCAAAATCTTGTTGTCCTTGAAATGCCGTATAGCCAAGTTGAGGGGCAACTTTGGAATGAAGACCAGGTATATTATATATGCTTATTTTAGTTCTTGTATAACATGTGGCCTAGAAAGTAATAATCTGCAAGCTAAGTTATTAATTCTTGTTTAATTTGTTACAGTGTCCTAAGCACTTGAAACGGATCAATCTTAAACACTGCATGCATCTAACTAAAGTCCCAGATCTCTCTCGGAGTCGAAAAATTGAGCATATAGATCTGAACTGGTGTGAGAGGTTGGTTGAAATTCCTTCGTATTTTCAACATCTTGGCAAGCTTACTTATCTTAACCTTTTGGGGTGCATAAATCTCAAAAATCTTCCCGAGATGCCATGCAATCTTGAATTCTTAAATTTATCTGAGACAGGAATAGAGGAGTTGCCTTCATCAGTTTGGTCTCACGAAAAAATATCTCGCTTAGATATTACATCTTGTAAACATCTTAAGAGTCTTCCAAGCAACACTTGTAAGCTGAAATTCTCTCTTAGTCTCGAAGGCTGCGAATCTCTTTGCGAGTTTTGGGAGCTTCCCAGGGATACAACAAAGCTACAGTTGAGTAGATCAACAATAAAAGAATTGAGGAATGCATCAATAGAGTCTGTCGTTGGTCTCACTGCAATTAAACTCACTTGGTGCAAAAGTTTTGTGAGTCTCCCGACGAACATTTGGAAGTTGAAATCTCTGAAGAGCATTGATCTCACTTGGTGCGAAAGTTTTGTGAGTCTCCCGACGAACATTTGGAAGTTGAAATCTCTGAAGAGCATTGATCTCACTTGGTGCTCCAAATTTCAATACTTCCCAGAAATCTTAAAGCCTATGGAACATCTGGAGTTTCTAAATTTAACAGGTACAGCGGTTAAAGAGCTACCCCCATCAATTGGAAATCTAGTTGCGCTTCGAGAATTACATCTCTTCTGTTGCAAGAACCTTGAGGTTGTCCCCGATGAGCTCTTTTGCTTAACCTCATTAGAAGAGTTAGATCTGAGTTCGACCGAAATTAAGAGCATACCTGCAAGCGTTAAACAAGCTGCTAAACTGTCTCGCTTGTTCCTCAATGATTGCAAGAGCCTTGAATCTTTACCAGAGCTCCCCCCATCACTAAAGGTAATTAAACTCAGTTGGTGCTCCAAATTTCAATGCTCCCCAGAAATCTTAAAGCATATGGAACATCTGGAGTATCTAAATTTAACAGGTATAGCGGTTAAAGAGCTACCCCCATCAATTGGAAATCTAGTTGCGCTTCAAGTATTTGATCTCCAATACTGCGAGAACCTTGAGGTTGTCCCCGATGAGCTCTTTTGCTTAACCTCATTAGAAGTGTTAAATTTGAGGGGGACCGAAATTAAGAGCTTACCTGCAAGCATCAAACAAGCTTCTCAGCTGTCTTCCATGTTCCTCAACAGTTGCAAGAGCCTTGAATCTTTACCAGAGCTCCCCCCATTGCTTCAACGTCTTGAAGCAGAAGGTTGCACGTCACTGAAGACAGTGTCAAGTTCAAGCACTGCACTCGCACAAGGTTGGGAAAAATATAAATTTTCTCGAGGGCTTCATGAGAAACATATATTTTCTAATTGCAGAAGGTTGGATGAGAATGCACGAAGCAACATAATGGGTGATGCACAACTCAAAATTATGCGAATGGCAACTGCATCGTCAAAGTTTAAAGAAGACAGAATTGAAGAAGCATCATATGATTCAGATGAGGTCTCTCTCTCTCTCTCTCTCTCTCTCTCTCTCTCACTTCTGTTGAAGTAGTTACTTTTCTTTTTCACGAGTTTAATAACTATGATGTCCATATCCATGGTACAGGAATCTATCATATCCATGGTACAGGAATCTTTCGTTGGCATTAGATGTTATGGGAATGAAATTCCAAAATGGTTCAGCCATAAAAGTGAGGGATGTTCAATAAAGATTGAGCTTCCTCATGATTGGTTTAGCACAGATTTCTTGGGTTTCGCTCTATCTCTTGTTGTCGTTGGTGCTATAGGTTATCTGAGTATTGGATGCAAGTACAACTTCAAAACTAGTAATGGTGAAAGCCGTGAAGTCAACCATCATTTTAGTCAGCCCCTGGAAAATTTGTTTTCAAGCGCATCATTTTCTTGTGATGAGGTGTTTGTGTGGTGGTATAATCAAAGCCCCACTGCGTTTTACAAACTTGTTACTGAGGTCAATGTTGACTTCACCGTTACTTCTGGATTCGACCTCTTTGGGGAAAATGAGCGGGAGGTGGAAAAGTGTGGGATATGTCTGTTGTATGGGAAAGATGTTGAGATGATAAAGCAGAGGGCTTTGTAGATCAAGCAGATATCCCTAAATTCAAAATTTCATTTCATTTGAGCTGTTTGCAAGACTTGTGGCTGAGGATGCTTTTGAGTTTGTTAGGCTTACCTTAGGGATGTCTTTCTTGTTTTAACCCTTCGCCCTCCTCTCCATCGCAAAGCTTTTTGGCTGAGGATGCTTTTGAGTTTAGTTTGTCACTGCCCACATAAGCCATGCAATATATTCTTCATTGAATTCAAGTATTAAATTGTTGAATGGCTTCATTCTTAATCATAAACGGGAAATTGGCACCTTTCTTCAGTTTGCATTTCTTAATTGAAATACGTTTTTCTACCAACATCACCTTAAAGCAATTACAAAATATTAAAATTTTGGAGGGAGATGAAGAAAGCAGGGCCATTGTTGGGTTCAATGCCTATCATAGAACACGTACTTAAAGGTACAAAAGAAGAGCAAGAAAGAAAGGCAAGGGTTAAACAAACCCTCTTTCGACCAACAACAAAAAAATCATATAAACATTCCTGCCTTACGGCAAGAATCATCAGAGAAAATTATATATAACCTGAAAAGGCACTCATTCAAGCACCAGAAATTCTTCTTCCTCGGTTATAAGCACCAGCATATGATGATTAACGAATTCTTTACAAAAATGTGGTAGGTTCTCCTGAAAGACACTTACATGCTTTTTATTAAGAACATGCACTAAACGATTCTGGTAGCATTTTGCATTGCACTTCCTTGGGACAGGCATGGTATATGGACTCATTGGTTGTCCTCCCTTTGTTGGAAGCTGTTTAATGATTTCAACATCTTTTGATAGAGATGATATAAACCAGTCTACATCAAAGTTGCTGCACCAAATACCCAAACAACAATATTAATCCACCGAATGTTTTGCTTACATTGACCTTGACAGTAGTTTTTTATCTGTGATATGGTGAAACTGACCTGGAATCCTTCCAAAATGATTTCTGGTCCAGCTTGGGAACAACAAGAGTAGCATTCAAGATATAAGCTGCAACAACAGCATCAGTTATCTGTAACAGAATCAGGAAAGGAAGCATCAGATGCTGATTCAGCAGCAAAAACATGCAAGATTACGAACCAGTCTTATCACTCATGGAATGAAAAAGTTACAAAGTACAATCAACTAGTCCTATACAAGAGCTACTTGTAATCCAAAATTAGACTAAGAAAGAAGCAAAGCAAACCACAATGTTCTTTAAACTAAATTTCTTTTAAGCCTTTACATGAACAAAACAGAACGATAAGTTAGCCTTAAATGGAAGAAAACTAAGATGGGATTTGATTGGATTACTATGCAGCTCCAGCTCAATCAAAAAACTAACCCCTGTTCTTTGTTGGTTTAAGCCTCCACTAGTAGCAATCAACAAATAGGAATTCGAATGTGTTTTCACATCAGCATCTGCAACATTGAAGGCATTGGTTTTGTAAATCAAAAGCCTCAGATAAGTTAAGAGCCTAATAATCAAAATTAAATTCTCCTATAAATTCATCACAGATCATAGAATCGATTCAATTACGATGTCATGATTCATGAAATGAACAAAACAAGACTTCAATCAATGCTGCTATGCATATTCCAGATTAAGAAGAATTATCAAGTTTTAATTGAATCTCAGTCTGAATATCAAATTTCAAAAAATATGGGTTGAGAAATTATCAAGTTAAGAGAAACTAGAAAGCTTCTTCATTAGATAGAAAGAGAGAAAGGAAAAAGAGCAGAAATGAAATAAGTAATATCTAAATACTTTACTTGCGAAGTTATCGGGGGCATTGCTGCAACCATGGAACATATCCGATTTCCTTGTGCTCCATAAATCTCGACCTGAGCTCCCTCCACTCTTCTAAAAATAACAAAATCAAAACGAAAATAAATTAAATTGAATTGTACACAAATCAACATCTTTTATTGGAGCTCCATTAAATTAAATATCGTACCGGAACACGAAACGTGGCCGTTTCATCCGAGTTCGACCGGGCCTCAACGACGCCATTGTCATCCTGAGCTCAAAAACCATAAGAAATTTTCCCTAAAATGTAAAATCATTACGAACCGTGAAAACCGGAAATGAGAGGTCATCAAGAGCGTGCTCGCGTACCGAGGAATGGTAGTGACGCAAGAGCGAGAGGTGATCGTGGTGATGCAGAGCCGGAGACGGAGCGAGGAGAGAGAAGGCGGCGAGGAGGAGTAGGAGGCAACCGGAGACGGCGGAGACGAGGGGGAACACGTGGTGGCGGAGACGGCGGAGGTGTCGCCGGACAACGGAGTCGATGAAGAGAGATATTTACAATTTCTTTTCTTGTAAGTCGTAACGAAGCTGGAGGACAGGAGTCGATGAAGAGAGATATTTACTATTTAATTAGTTATTTTATGGGATATTGTTATTTTTTTTATTTGTTTAGGTAGTTTTAGGATATCTTTTATCATTCATATCTGATTCTATAGTTACTTAATTTACTTTTAGATCAAATAGACTTGGCTCTTGGCACTTGGGATCAGAATGTTAGTGATTTTCATTCAATAAGTGGATTTTTTTTTCTTGTTGGATATTTAGAGAATTAGTTATTTTGTCGGGCAATTGTCATTCCCAAATTGATTTGGTAAATCTCTATTTCCGTTTTGGCTTTGTATAATAAAAGTGTGGGATTTGTCCGTTGTATGCCCAAGATGTTGAGATTATTAAGCAAAGATTTTGTAGCTCAAGTGATTAGAAACATTTATTTAATTTTAGGATCTGCCTGTGCAAGAAAATTTTATTGGAGTGTTGCAAGCCTTCTCTTGTCAGGCTTACGGACGTCTTAATTTATCTAATTTTAGGATCTGCCCATGCAAAATATAGTGGCCGAATTTTTCAGTTGTATCTTGCCAAAAAAATTTCAAATAAAACACATATGTATTTTATTCTTTTTTTTTTCGTTCTGTATTTTACCAACTAGGCTCCACATCCCTAACCTTAAAGACTATTAATGCCACAAAAAATCATAAAAGACAAAATACGATAATTTCACAAATCTCAGGGACCATTTGTGATAAAACCTTCCCCCCTCAAAGAAGGACAAATCAAGTATTCCCAAACAAATCCTACGAAAAATTATTGAGCTCAAACTTGTACCTTATACTTAATATATAATGAAGCTAACAATTGCAATTTTCTTTTTTTACTTTTCATTTCATTTTGCTTATGAACTCCGATTTTGATATATTTTGCTTTCTATTTCTTTATAAATAGAGCAGGCGTGCTCTTCAATTTGGAAGACCAGAACTCTTGCGACCTGAACGAAGAAATTTCTTCGCATCAGAAATGCCATGTCACAATTATCTTTTCCTTTTCTTTTGTTTTCTACTGCAACTTACATCTTTTTTCTTTTTTTTTTGGGGTCAGAAACTTACATCTATTTATCTCTCAGTTAAAAATCACCAGCTCTTAAGTTGAGGGATATATTTTCCGTGCAAGGCTGGAACGCTTGTGCATGCCTTTTTGCACTGTTCCTTGGCAAAGTCAAAGTCGGAATGCTTACGAAATTGATCAAAAGGAAAATACGAAATTGAATGCGAGTGGCGAACTTTCAAAGTGCCTTGCAAAATTAATTGGACCCGGACTAGTTCCCATTTGAATTTCACTCTGCAATGCTGATATCTCTTGCTTATCTCGATTCTGATTTCTGAGGTGCAACTTCTTTCTTGACCTGGAGGTAATCCCACTGACTTACCCTTGGAGAATTCTCTACAATAATAAAAACACCATAGCAGTCTCTAACTTCATTATTAATTACTGTACGTAGTCCAAATCTCTTGTATTTCTATTGCAGAAAGATTTTCAACTGTCGCATCTCTCATTCTGAATATATACAGCCAATGTTTAGCTTACTTGACGTTGTTAATTTCATTTTCTTTTGAATATATGTGTTGTGTGGATACATAACTAGATTTATATTCATAATTAGCCCAGGCACGCATATTTTGACTTGTGGGTGGGTTTGCACAGGTTATGGATGAAAAGTATGATGTGTTTCTAAGTTTCAGAGGTGAGGACACCCGCTATACGTTCACCAGCCATCTTCATGCTGCTTTGCTTGGGAAGAAAATTCAGACCTACATAGATAACAATCTCGAGAGAGGAAATGAAATTGCACCTACCCTTCTCGAAGCAATAGAGAAATCAAAGCTTTCGATAATCATTTTCTCAAAAAACTACGCTTCTTCCACTTGGTGTCTGGATGGACTTGTGCATATTCTAGAATGCAAGGGAAGAGGTGGTGGTGATGGCGGTGGAGGTGGAGATGGTAGTGGTGGTGATGAAGGTGGAGGTGGTGGTGATGGTGATGGTGATGGTGATGGTGGAGGAGGTATTTAAGTTATATTTTTCCAATTCCCCTCTAAAATTTGTCTAAAAATATAATTTAAGAAACCCATTATAAATGCTCTTAAAAATCTAAACTAGATACCTCTATTTTTTAATTTCATTGAAATCATTAGAATTCGTCAAAAGTTTAAACTTTGGGTGATTGATAAGACAAAATTTAAAATAAAAAAGAATCTCTAGTAGTGGTTGTAATATGGACCCAAAAAGAAAATAAAAAAGTATAAGTTTGTACGTAAAACGCGTAAATTGAGGGGCCTATTATATAACGTGTTGTCGCTCCCACGTGCCCTTTTCTTTCTTCAGTGTGTGAATGCTTGAATTTTTGTCTACCGACACTGCATGACTAATTATTTCACTTGTCTTTTTTCCATCTCTGCTTATTTTCCTGGATCGTTTTGTAGCTTTGTGCATATAGTCAAGTCAGCTCAGCTAGTACAATTGCTAAACTAATTACAGTATGATCTAGCTTATCAACCAACTGCTTCTCTTTCCATAACATTTAAAGTTGGGTTGTGTTGTGTGGCCAGTCATGCAGAAAGGGACAAGGACATTGTGATGAAAGTGAAAATTGATGGGGGTGTGCGTAGTGGCGTTCTTGAGTCTTCTTCATTCTCAATTATCCTCATCGCAATAGCACGCAATGATGTTTGATGTTTGAGGTTTGACAACTTTTACATGACGACACGATTCGAAACTGACACGAATTTGTAAATTTCAGTTTGTTTATCTGAAACTTTTTTGAATGAAAATTCAAAGAAAGAGTATTCTGAAAAATTTATAAACTTGGAGAAATTCCTACATTTGTAATACTTGACACGAACCTAAAATGATACTCGCTATTAATGTGAATGATGACCAAATGGACTCAACAATATCACATACAAACTTTGTTTTGTGACATGACAACTCTAATTCTTTAAATGACAGCTCTCCTAGTTCTTAATAGTATCTTTATTTCATTCTTCGATCCCATAGTTTTGAATCATTATAGAAGTAGAGAGTTCTTGTTTTAAGTTTCTTAGCAAGGATGGATTTTATTTAAAAGAAAAAAGCCATCACTTATAACTCATAAAAAAATAAAAATCAACTTTCTTTTTATCTAAACTTGAGTCTTTCTTATCTGTCTTTTATATAATACTAAATAGTGGAGGGTGGAATGACTAGAAGAAATCCATCACTAGGAAATTTCCTTGCATTAGAATGCTTTATTTCTTGGTTTGAATGCACGAAAGCTCTTGGTCAAGTCTCCTTCACTTTACTTTTTTATCTTTTAATCTCTATTGATCGTTCGTGCTTTTTTATCTTCAAAAGCAAAAGTTTGTACGTAAAGCGAGTATGAATGCTTGAATTTCCAGGCTAATCTTTTAACTGAATGCTTGAATTTCCTTGCCTAATTATTTCACTTGTCTTTTTCCTGGATCGTTTTGTAGCAATTGTTTTGTAGCTTCGTGCATATAGTCAAGTCACGTCAACTAGAGCAATTGCTTTCTATTCTCTATCTTTCTAAACTGCTTAATTGGACCCCTCGGGTGCAACTTAATTAAACCCTCAGGTCCATCATCTACAATATCAGATTATCTTTCTTCTTCAAGTTTTCATCTCAAGTATCAGATTGCTTTAATTTTAGCTCCTGGTGCATTCAGAGAAATAGATATGGACTCCATTGACTTCTTTCAAGTTTTCATCATAATCATCATACTCATCATGACTCTGTTCTACATCTACTTCAGATCATTAACATCTTCTTCTGCTGCTGCTGTTGCTGCTGTTGACACTGATATCCCCCCTCTTCAAGAAAAGTATGATGTGTTTATTAGCTTCAGAGGTGAGGACACACGCGAGGCTTTTACCAGCCATCTTCACAAGGCTTTACTTTGGAAGAAAATTGAGACCTACATGGATTACAGACTGGAGAAAGGAGACAACATTGGACCTGCCCTTCTAAAAGCAATCGAGAAATCGAAAATTGCACTAGTCATTTTCTCAAAAGACTATGCTTCTTCCACTTGGTGTTTGAAAGAACTTGTGCATATACTTGGATGCAAGAAAAGCCATGGACAGATTGTTATACCCATTTTTTATCGCATAGATCCATCACATGTACGAAAACAAAAGGGAACTTATGCACTTGGAGGGCCGCTTTGGAGACTTAAGAAACATTTTAAGGTCAGTATGAAAGAGGTGGCCAACTGGAGGGCTGCTTTGGAGGAAGCTGCCAATATTTCTGGGTTTCATGATTCAACCAAAACAGGGTATACTAAATCTCTAGCTTGTATCAATTTCTATTTGTTATCATTTGATGCATATACTTACTATTGTTTGTCTTTCATAATGATATTTGCCAGGACGGAGGCTGATTTTGTTGAGGAAGTTGCTCAAGATGTTTTGACCAAATTGAATCGTGAATCGTCAAGTGATTTAAAGGACCTTCTTGGAATTCAAAGGAAAATTGAGGAAATTGAGGAAATTGAGTCGTTGTTATGCTTGGATTCACCAGGTGTTTGCTGTGTAGGTATTTGGGGCATGGGTGGTATTGGCAAGACCACCCTTGCTGATGCTGTATTTCACAGGCACTCCTCTAAATTTGACGCTTGTTGTTTTCTTGAAAATGTCAGGGAGAAATCAGAAAAAACGAAGGGACTACGTCGGTTGCGTAAGACACTTGTTCGTGAATTATTAAAGGATAAAAGTGTAAAAATCAAAACTTCGTCTATACCACCTCATATTCAAGATAGGCTCAGGCGTACAAAGGCGCTCATTGTTCTTGATGATGTGAATGCTCGAAAACAACTAGAATATCTTGTTGGTGATGATGATCAGTTTTGCGAAGGAAGTCGAATCATTATAACTGCTAGAGATAAAGGCCTACTTGAGCAAAAAGTTGACCGTGAAAAGATATACGATGTTGAGGGATTAGATTCTGATTACGCTCTTAGGCTCTTTCATTTGCATGCTTCTGAAAATAAGGGCTTGTTTAGGAGTGCTTTTGGAGCAGCAAAAAACGCTTCTAAATGGGTGAAAGTGCTTTTGTCTTTTAAAAATAGTGTTTGGCAAAAATTGCAAAAGCGATCCAAAAGCACTTGGAGTGGTTTTGGAAGAAGCACTTGAGAGGTGCTTCTTCTTAAAAGCGCTGCAGGACAAAAATAAGGGAAGCACCCCTTTAATAAAACCTTTAAAATGCCAAAAATACCCATATTTAATTTTTTTTAAATGCCAAAACACCCTTTCTTTTTTTCTCTTTCTCTCTTTCTTGCTGGAGAATGGAGATCAATTCTGAATTCTTGTATGCCCCCTTGCTTATATAATATTGTATGCTCGATTTTATTGAAAACAAACATTATGATATGTAGCACCAAACTTGATTTAAAAAGCATTAACATATGAATGAATCCTGTTTTTGGAGGCAGGCCTGTTGATCAAGACATAATGAAAACAAAATCAGCAGCGGCCTATTATGAAGCCAAGTCTATGGCAGCAAAGACCCCTTTACCAGAAAAGAAAATGAGCACAGGCACTTTCAAATTCTCCAGTGCAATGACCAAGCAAGGCCTTTTACAAATCCACAAAACTTTCCCTGAAGCCAACACTTCTGATTTGAGGGCTGCAGTGTTTTGGACGAGCATTGCGTGCTTAAAACCCCCAAAGAGTGGCACCAAGCACTCCCTCTCAATTTGTACTTTCTAAAGTTGTGATCTGGGTGGCACTATGGCAATGCCTTGCATTTTTCAATGCTTTCCCTAATAGAATGGTCCAAGAAAGGTTTCAACATTCTGGTGAGACGGTGTCAAGTTGGTTTGGGATATTTTAGATGTTGTTTGTGGCATGGCTAGTGATATCATAAGTCTACAAGACCCACAATTTTGGAGAGTTCCGGATAAAATCAAAGCGCTTTTACTATGTTAGCCAAACACTTAACAAAATATCAAAAGTGTTTTTATGTAGTGTAAAAGCACTTTTAAATGTGACATCCAAACCACAAACTACTTCTTTGTAGAAGTGTTTATGTCATAAGCGATATTGGCATAAGCGCTTCAAGAAGAAGCACTTCCAAACGAGCCCTAAGTCTCCAACAACATATTACATTGAGTTGTCAAGAGGGGTGGTGGATTATATTAAGGGCATTCCATTAGCTCTTAAAGTTATGGGGTCCTCATTCCGTCGTTGCAAGAGCAAACAAGAGTGGGAAGATGAATGGAAAAAAGTGAGAGAATATCCAGACGAAGAAATTGATCGAATGTTCAGAATAAGTTACGATGGATTAGGAAAACATGAGAATGAGATATTTCTTGAGATAACATGTTTTTATAAAGGCTATGAGAGGAATTATGTAAAAGAATGTTGATTTCCACGGGGAAGCAGGAATCAATGATCTTATTGATAGGTCTCTCATATCAATTTCATATTCCAACACATCGGTAGATGAGCAGTTAGAAGCACGGATAGAGATGCATGATTTGGTGCAAGAAATGGGTTGTGCAATTGCTCGAAAACAAGGCAACAGGTTGTTCATTTTAAAGGATGTCCATCAAGTATTGACAAATAACCAGGTAGTTTAATTATTCACATTTACAATAAACAAGTCAGATTATTCATACAAATGTAATTTTGATTAAACCTTTTTTGTATATTATATTTTACATTTATATTTTTGCTCTTGATTGTCAGCGCGATGGACATGTTCAAGCCATATCCATTAACTGTCTTTATTGGTGTGAGATGGAATATGCAAACTTCGAAAAGATGCATCAACAACTGAGATGGCTATGTGTCGATAATTGTGTCAATAATCGTGGGTTCCTCTGGAGTGGTTTACCTGCATTAATTGGTTCTCCTGGTCTTCCCAATTCTCTTTAATATCTTCGCTGGTGCCAATATCCTTTGAAATCTTTGCCATCAAAATTTTCTGCTCAAAATCTTGTTGTCTTTGAAATGCCGTACAGCCAAGTTGTGGGGCAACTTTGGAATGAAGACCAGGTACATTATATATGCTTATTTGAGATCTTGTAACATTTGGCCTAGAAAGTAATAATCTGCAAGCTAAGTTATTAATTCTTGTTTAATTTGTTACAGAGTCCTCCTGTGAACTTGAAATGGATCAATCTTGAAGGCTGCATGTATCTAACTAAAGTCCCAGATCTCTCTCGGAGTCTACAAATTAAACATATAGATCTGAAAAGGTGTGGACGTTTGGTTGAAATTCCTTCATATTTTCAACATCTTGGCAAGCTTACTTATCTTGACCTTGGGCAGTGCACAAATCTCAAAAATCTTCCCGAGATGCCATGCAATCTTGAATTCTTAAATTTGTCTTCTACAGCAATAGAGGAATTGCCTTCATCAGTTTGGTCTCACGAAAAAATATCTCACTTAGATATTAGATATTGTGGACACTTTAAGAGTCTTCCAAGCAACACTTGTAAGCTGAAACTCTCTCTTGGTCTAGATTACTGCAATTCTCTTTGCGAGTTTTGGGAGCTTCCCAGGGATACAACACAGCTACAGTTGAGTTATTCAACAATAAAAGAATTGAGGAATGCATCAATAGAGTCTGTCATTGGTCTCACTGCAATTGAACTGCATCGTTGCGAAAGTCTTGTGAGTCTCCCAACGAATATTTGGAAGTTGAAATCTCTGAAGAGCCTTAATCTCGAGGATTGTTCTAACTTTCAAAACTTCCCAGAAATCTCGGAGGTTATGGAATATCTAGAGTTTCTAAATTTATCAGGTACAGCGGTTAAAGAGATACCCCCATCAATTAGAAATCTAGTTGTGCTTCGAGAATTAGATCTCCACAACTGCAAGAACCTTGAGGTTGTCCCCGATGAGTTATTTTGCTTAACCTCATTACAAGTGTTAGATTTGAAGGGGACCGAAATTAAGAGCTTACCTGCAAGTATCAAACAAGCTGCTCAGCTGTCTCTCCTGTTCCTCAACAATTGTAAGAGCCTTGAATCTTTACCAGAGCTCCCCCCATTGCTTCAATGTCTTGAAGCAGAAGGTTGCACGTCACTGAAGACAGTGTCAAGTTCAAGCACTGCACTCGCACAAGGTTGGGAAAAATATAAATTTTCTCGAGGGCTTATTGAGAAACATACATTTTTTGATTGCATAAGGTTGGATGAGAATGCACGAAGCAACATAATGGGTGATGCACAGCTCAGAATTATGCGGATGGCAACTGAGTCATCAAAGTTTAAAGAAGACAAAATTGAAAAAGCATCATATAATTCAAATAAGGTCTCTCTCTCTCTCTCTCTCTTCTGTTGAAGAAGTTGCTTTTTTTTGTTTCACGAGTTTAATAACTATGATGTCCATATCCATGGTGCAGGAATCTGTGGTTGGCATTAGATGTGGTGGGAATGAAATTCCAAAATGGTTCAGCCATCGAAGTGAGGGATGTTCAATAAAGATTGAGCTTCCTCGTGATTGGGTTAGCACAGATTTCTTGGGTTTCGCTCTATCTCTGGTTGTTTCATGCCAAGAAGATTATTATGATATATGGTATTTGATTAGTGGATGCAAGTACAACTTCAAAACTAGTAATGGTGAAAGCCATGCAGTCGACCATCTTTTACGTCATCCGCCCCCTGAAAATCGCTTACCAATCGGAGATCCACATGAGGTGTGGATGTGGTGGCATAGTAGTGTCTTTGAAGAAGTTGTACAGGGAGCTCAAAGCCCCACTGCATTTTACAAACTTGTTACTGAGCTCAATGTTGACTTCATCGTAAGGGATGACTGTTACGGACCCCATCTGATAGAAAAGTGTGGGATATGTCTGTTGTATGGCAAAGATGTTGAGAAGATGATAAAGCAGAGAGCTTTGTAGATCAAGCCGATATCCTTAAATTCAAAATTTCATTTTATTTGAGCTGTTTGCAAAACTTGTGGCTGAGGATGCTTTTGAGTTTGTTAGGCTTAGGGATGTCTTTCTTGTTTTAACCCTTTGCCCTCTCCATCGCAAAGCTTTTTGGCTGAGGATGCTTTTGAGTTTAGTTTGTCACGCCCCATGTAAGCCAAGTAATTTTCTTCCTTGAATTGAAGTATTAAATTGTTAAAAGTCAACAGTATTAAATTTGGCATCAATTGGATTTCTGCTATAAGTTG